TAATAGCTTTGGGTGAGCCAGATGGGCCTGGTATCATGTGGGCAGACAAGCTAAGAGATGTTTCTTTGGACTTTGAATACTGGGCTTGTAGAATGAAGGGGTTCTTCCCTGATGAGAACAAAAACGCTGCATGTTACATCAGCCTCAGTTATGATAGTTATCGCTGCTGCCTTGTCGTAGCGTGGAGCCATGGGCACACGGACATGAAGACACCGTACATGTCTTCCCACATTCTCTTCTTCAAAAAGAAGTTCCTGGAGAGTGCTAGGAGCCTTGTGCTAAGGAATGGGGCTGTGCTAGGTGCTGCGTTAGTGTTCAGGACCCTGTGGTACACTGCCTGCTCGCTTGTTTTCTCCTTTCCTCTTTCCCCCTTCTCTTTGTGCGGTGGTGAGGACTGAGGATTGACCCAGAGCCCTGCGCATGCCAGGTACGTGGTTTACCTCTGCTCCGGCCCCAGAACGGCACTTCAAAAAGTAGTGAGAATTAAGTGAAAAGGACGAGGGAGGATTCCTTGGGGGAGAAGCAGCTGAAGGGTCAGGACTCGGGAGGACCGGAAGCCATGAGATGAGAGGCTGGATGACGTCGTGGCTGGCCGGCCCGCAACAGAATTTACAATTGTGGTACACGCTGGGGAAGGTTTTCAGAGTAGAATGGACATAATAAGACTTATTTAACTTTAATATTTTGTGGTGGTAGGGACTTGAACCCAGGGTTTTGAGCATGCTGGGGAAGTACTCCACCACTGGGCAACACAAGATTTAGGTTTTTAAAAGAGTCCTTTGGGGGCTGGAGAGATGGCTCAGTGGTTAAGAGCACTGGCTGCTCTTCCAGAGGACCCAGGTTCAATTCCCAGCATCCACATCACACCTGCCTGTAACTCCAGTTCCAGAGGATCCAATACCCTCACACAGACATACATGTAGGCAAAACACCAATGCATATCAAACAAACAAACAAACAATAAAATAGAGTACTCTGGCCTCATGTGAAGGAGCTGGAGAAGAAGTTGGAGTCTGGTTGGTAGGCTGTGGTGGGAAGCCAGAGGTCGCAGAGGTCGGTGAAGTTTAGTTCAGGCAGAGAACGCAGATCTGGACTAGGCTGGTAGCTGTGGGGCTATAGAGAAATGGGTGGGTCAGATGTTTCTCTTTGTGAAAATTATTTTTTCCTCATTAGACAGATAATGTTTATTATAGAACTTTAGAGAAAACAAATAAATCCTCCAAAGGACATAAGTGTGTTTAATCTCCTTCTAGGAATCAACGTTTTCTGTTCCTGTACACTTGTAAAATGCACACTCATTATTAGAAGCAATCATATATTATCAGTTGGATATGTGTTGCTTTATGAGCTGTACTTTTTTTTCTTTTTTGAGACAGGGTTTCTCTGTATAACAGCCTTGGCTGTTCTGGAACTCGCTCTGTAGACAAGGTTGACCTCAAACTCACAGAGATCCACCTGCCTCTGCCTCCTCAGTGCTGGGATTTAAGGCGTGCGCCACCGCTGCCTGGGGATAAGCTGTTCTTTTAACAGAGATCCTTGGCTTTCACCACATTGACAGTGAAAGTGGCTGGTGGCAGTTTGTGCTTTCTGAGAGGGAATTACCTCTCACTGCACAGGACCTGTTCCAGGTGTGCCCTTTGTGGTCCATCATGCATGATGTGTTGGGGAATTCTATAGCCAGGACTGAATCTGGTTAGTTCTGGCCTGAAAGAAAGACTACATGGTGGTTGGCGTCAGAGCCTGAGAGTGCTCCAGAGAGATGTTCTGTTGAAGCCAGTCCTGTAAGGGGCTTGCTGAGGGAGGGGACACAGGCTTCCTTGATTAGTCTCTAACTTTGTTTTGGTTTGGTTTGGTTTTTTGGTTTTTCGAGACAGGGTTTCTCTGTGTAGTTTTGGTGCCTGTCCTGGATCTCGCTCTGTAGACCAGGCTGACTTCAAACTCACAGAGATCTGCCTGTCTCTGCCTCCCAAGTGCTGGGATTAAAGGTGTGTGCCACCACTGCCCGGTTTAGTCTCTAACTTTTGAGACAGAGTCTCTCACTGAACCCAGTCCCAGCAATTTGGCTAGGGTGGCTGGCCAGCAAGCCCTAGAAAATCCACTTGTTTCCATCTCCCAAGTGCCGGGAGTGTAGCCATGGGCCACTATCTCAGACTTGAAGTAGTTTTTATTATATTGTATTTTAAAATAGTGTGTATGTGTCCTAGTTACTGTGAAGAGACGCTGTGACCAGGGCAACTCTTATAAAATAAAACATGTAATTGAGAGCTTGCTTACAGCTTTAGAGGGTTATCCATGATCATCATTGGTGGGAAGCAGACAGGCATGGTGCCAGAGAGAGCAGTAGCTGAGAGCTTTGCATCTGATCTTCAGGCAGCAGGCAGAGAGAGAGAGACACTGGGCCTGGCATGGGCTTATGAAACCTCAGGGACACACTTCTTTCAACACTTGCTAATCCTTTTAATTCTTCTCAAATGTTTCTACTTCCTGATGACTGAGCCTGTGAGGACCATTCTCATTCAAGCCACGCGTGTACAGGGTGTGCATATACCACGGCACGTGTGGAGGTCAAAGGGCAGCTCTCAGGCATTGCTTTGCTTTTTGCACCATGGAGGTTCCTGGGATTGAACTCCGGATTTTAGGCTCTGTGGCAATTGCCTTTAACCATGGAGCCAAATCACTAGTCCGTGCCTGGCTTTTTCACATGGGTGCTGAGGATCAAACTCAGGTCCTCATGCTTGCATCAAAGCCATTTACCAACTGAGCCGTCTCCTCAGCCCTCAGTCAGGGGCTTTTAAAGGTTGTTCCTGTGGTTCCTGGGCTGTTTGTGGAGTATTCTGAGTGATCATACATAGTTCCAGTCCCCACCCAAGACAAGCTCATCCATGGCTGCTGTGGTGGGTGTAGCGATCTCATCAGGCCTCAGAGCTGCTGCTGGACAAAGATCCCCACCTCCAGAGCACTCTGTTCTGCATCTTTCAGCTCCACACCTGCCCAGAAGACACCTTTAACTCCACTTCTGATGAGCAGGACACACACTTGCTGGTCCTCTTGCAGGTGAGCCAGAGCTCACTAACAAAGACCTTCCCAGGTCATTGTGGCATGAGGTCTGTTCATCAGGATCTCAGAGATTCCTTGGGCTGAACCTGTCAGGATGTGTGTCCTGAATCCTGCGTGTCCCAGCTGTGGCATGGGAGGTGCAGTGGAGGGCTCCCAGGGCCATCCAGGGAACAGTGCTTGGGGCAGGGGACCCTCTGTTCATCTTTATTTTATTTATTTATTTATTTATTTATTTATTTATTTATTGTTTTTCGAGACAGGGTTTCTCTGTAGCTTTGCGCCTTTTCCTGGAACTCACTTGGTAGCCCAGGCTGGCCTCAAACTCACAGAGATCCGCCTGGCTCTGCCTCCCGAGTGCTGGGACTAAAGGCGTGCGCCACCACTGCCCGGCTCGCTCTATTTTTCATTTTTGTAAAGAAACTTGAATGAGGTGTGTCACCCTGAAAATCGGATGGCTTTTCCTGACAGACCATGGAATTGGGGGACTCACATGTTAGTCTGTTTGATATCTTTTTTTTTTTTTTTGAGCTGAAGATCGAACTCAGGCCTTGCTAGGCAAGCGCTCTACCACTGAGCTAAATCCCCAACCCCAATATCTCTTTTTCTTGCTGTTGTATTCATTCATGCTCTGTGAAATCTGTGGAAGGATTCTGGCCTCCTGGGTCAGCAGCACGCATCAGTAGCCTGGTCTGAGAAAATTGAGGGAATAACCTTTCTTAGTTCTAGCACCTTGAGCTCCACCCACTTACATCCACCTTTCCAGTATCAGCTCAATAGTGGAGGCATCCGAGTAGGAAGGTCAAGTCTAGAGTACCAGAGCCCTGCCCCCACCCACCCCCAGCAGCTTCTAGCCGGTCAGGGAGGCAGGGGTACTGGGACAGCTTCGCTCCAGGCTGTTCTCTTTCTCCATGTACACAGTCTAGGATCCTAGCAGGGAATGGTGCCACCCACAATGGACAGGTCTTCTTCTAATCATCCCTCCCAGGCATGCTCAGAGGCCTGTCTCCAGGATAGTCTACACTCTGTCAAGCTGACAAACACTAGCCGTCACACCAGACGTTTGTAGCCTGGGGTGCAGGCTGGGGGTGGGCCCGGGCCAGCAGAGGGGAGCTGGAGTCGCCCCAGCGGTCCCTGCTGTCTTCTTGTCTTTGGGAACTGCCATGTGTGCGGTGGTGCATTTGGTCGCAGGGGTCGGCAGAGTGGACAGTCAACTGCACTATGACTATGGGCTGTAAGATTTCATTAGGCAATGCTCACCTTTTCTCTCTTCTGTCTTCAAGGCCAGTTGCATCTTGTCAGGTCCCAAAGAAACTCCAGGCACATGGCTAACTGTGGTGTCTATGAGCACACCAAAGTGCGTGCTGGCTTCTCTCAGCTAGTGTCTGTTACAGTCACCCTGGCTGGATACTCTGTCCCCTCCCCTAAACCTCTCCACCAAGGGGTTTCACCTCTTTTCTCCCACCTTCTCTTTCATATGTAGCCCTGCAGTTTTTGGCCACATGTTCTCTTCATTCTCTTGGTCCTGGGCCACCTCTCCTTTGCTCCCTGTCTCTCTCTTTCTCTCTCACTCTTTCCATCTCCTCTCTCCTCTCATGGACTCTTCCAGATGCCTTTGGCTGTACTCTTCCTCATATCTACAATAAAAACCTTCCCCTCAACCATAACTTGGAGCAGTCATGTCCTCATTCCATTTACTTCTTAGGATTAGTAAGCAGGAGAGACCTGGGATGCCCGGCTCTTGGTGAATCAAAGGACAGATTTTGCCTCCAGAGACTGTCATGGAAAAGTCTAACAGAGAATCCATTTCAAAGGGGCTTCTCTGCTATTGGACCAGTTTATCGCTGGAGGACCTGCGGGTGCTTTGGGGTGGAGGGTGCTATGCATACGTAGGTACAGGAGTGACCATAGTTGCATCCCTCGACAATCCTTTGCAAGCTCTGAAATGTGATTCCTCAAGTTGCAGCTGTGGCTAATGCTGAAGAGAGGATGGGTGGGAACTTCCCACCTCTCAGTGGTTCTGATCCTACAGGGAAATAGATGCTCCATTGACCGTTTTCCGAGTGGGGTGTGGAGTTAGAGTTCCTGAGCCATTCAGTAGTCAGGTTCCCCAGAGAGACAAAACTGCATGTTCATATAGCTCTAGGAGCCTCAGAAGGTCATGGCTGACATGTTTATACAGACTGAGAAGTGGAAGGATCCATCACAGCAGGCTGGAGAACAGACCAAGGAGAGCCTGAGAGCTCATGTGGAGAGGCTAGCTTGAGTCTGAAGGCCTGAAAAGCAAGAAATGTAAAGCAGAGAAAGTAATTCCCAGCACAGTGGGGCAGAGACTTCAGCCTCCCTTTGTCTTCCTGTTTGGTTGGGGCCCAGGGTGTGGGCTGAGGGACTGGGGCATGCCCACCTAAATAGAGGAGGGTCATCTGCTTTACTTGAGGCAAAACCTCAAAGGCTAATGTCTTTGATTAATGACACACAAAATTAATCATCCCAAGGGTCTTTGTTTTCAGATTTTTAAATTATTTTTAATTGTGTATCTGTGTGTGGCTTATATGCCTGTGAGTACAGATGCCCATGGGAACTAGAGGTGGCAGATCCCCCAGGAGCTAAAATTGTAGGCAGTCATAAGCCACCTGATGTGGGTGCTGAGGACTGAACTCAAGTCCTTAGCCACTGAGCCGTCTCTCCAGCCCCCTCAAGTATCTTAATATCACTAAGCAAAAGGAAGTAAATAGTTGTTTGGAATCCCTCTAGGTTTGACCTGATTCTGTGCCGACCTTACTCAAGTAAAATGCTCTCTCCTCACAGCAGGGGAGTTCAGTAGCCTGGTTTACTTTCTGAGGCACAGTCTGGGAGCTCCACTGTGTGCAGGACCCAGACAGCACCAGCCACCACTGGCAACACTCCAACACAGAGTCAGTGAGGGCCAGCAGGAGGGAGCCAGGGCAGAGGAACAGAGGAAGGTAGGCCTGGCCAAGAGGGCTCGCTTGCTTTGAGACCAGTCAAGAGAAACTGATAGAAAAGTCTTAGCTTGTGGAGGTCGAAAGGTTCTGGTAACAGCCTCATCATATGGAAATCTAAGAGCTGCATCTAGAAAATCTACTTATCACGTTTCTGCGTTCGAATGTCAGGAATCACACTGTTGAGGTGCTGAAGAGATGGCTCAACAGTTAATAATACATACTGTTCTTGCAGTAGTCCTGAGTTCAGTTCCTGGCTCACAGGGGGCAGGCAGCTCACAGCTGCCTGCAATTCCAGCTCCCGGGTCTTAGCACCTCTGACCTCCTTCTGCACCTGCACTCATGTGCCCCACAGAGGCATGCATGCTTGCGTGTGCGCACACACATGTGCAGAATTAAAAATAAAATCTTTTGTAAAAATATAAAGGGTTTGTTTTCACCACACATACACAGAATGCAATATTAGGCATCTGTGGGAGACATTATTATCCTCAGTTTGCCTTGGGAATTGTAAGTGAAGGATTCAAGACAAACCTTTGCTGTTGCACATCCTGGAGAGAACTGTGTGTCTGTTGGAGGCGAGGATGGCTCCCGTCTTCTGGGCGGGAGGGTTGCCTCCTGTCCGGGATGCTGGCCAGTGTCCTGGGTTTGTTCCTTTTCTTAGCTCCTGCTTTCATGGTTATGCCACTGTTAGGCTGAGGAAAGGAGATGCCAGAATCAATAGAGGGGAAGATAGGGACAAATGAGTATGTCTCGTCGGAGGAACAGTCTTCTGTCAGCTGTCATTCCAGCCATCCTCTAGCTTTTCCAATGTGCTACACCGCTGTTGAACGCAGGGCCTTTGCACGCACAGTTTAATCCACTGGAGCCCCTTTGTCTGCCTGTATCAGCTGAAACCCCCCTTCCGTAAAGGGCATTCCCTGATTTCCCGGGCAAGATTGGTTCCCTCAGGTATGTATCACCAGAGCCCTCTACACTTCCCTTTCATTACACACCTCACTCTTACAGCTCCTTGTTCAGGGCCAGGCTCCCCCGGCAGACTTTAGGCTTAATGAAGAGAGGGAACTTACTGGTGTTGCTGTTGTGTCTGGTGTTTCCAGGTTGCTGGAGGATCATTCTGTGAATGAATGAGGGTAGTGAATGCTTACAAGGTACTAGGTTCTTCCCTTACATAGAAAAAAAATGCTGTGATGGAAACATTAGTCACACTTTTACACTTACAGATTGAGATCCGGTGCTACTAGGGACTTGGCCAAGGTCGTGTTATCAGCCTGGACCAGCAAAAGAACAATAAAACCGTTAGCCAGCCTGTATAGTGCTCATGGAAGGTCAGGCATTGCTTTGGCAGTGATAGGTAACACTTCAATGTCCACAGTGTGCTGTGCCTTCTGGTATTTACCCTGGAGGAACTGTTGGAAGCTTAGTGTTAATTGTCACCTTGACAGAATCGACAATGAGGAGAGACACTTTGGGCATGCCTGTGGGAATTTATCTTGGTTGTGTTAATTGAGGTGGAAGACCTTCTCCCTTGTGGGTGGGTCCATTCTCTGCCTGGGATCCTGGGCTAAGGCAGTGAAGGAAAGGCACTGAATAGTGGGATGCATTCATCGCCCTCTGCTTCCTGACTGGATTGACATGAGTGACAGCTGACAGAGGCTTTTGCTGCACTGATGCTCCCCACTGTGGGGTAGTTCCAGATCCAGGAGAGTAGGGCCGACGCGTGAACTAAGAACCCGGAGTCTGCAACTTGAGGACAGGCTTTCTTGGCGCCCTCTCCCCTCTGTGCTCTCCCGGACCGTCTTCTGTTCTTTCCTCCTTGGCACCAGTCAATGGGAGTAAGTTAGCAAGCCTGCTGACTAGTAAGATGCCCTATTGAAGAATAGGATGCTGCGCTCTCCAGGTTGAAAGAAACTCTGCTCATTACAAGGAACCTGTTGCTTGTAACCACCATGGATGTGTGTGTGTGTGTGTGTGTGTGTGTGTGTGTGTGTGTGTGTGTGTGTGTTGTGTGTGTTGCTTCTGCCTGTGATCGATACATTATCTTCAAAACTGCCATTGCTCCCATATAAGTTGACTGGGGATGGGTAGTGTCAATGTAAAAAACACGGCTCTCGTCTTAAAGGGAAGAAGAGAGAGTTTTGGCCCCGGGAATATGGTTTTAGGTTACCCCAAATTCCATGTTCCGACATGAAAGCAGTTTCATAGTTTTACAGAACAAAGAAAGTCTTAGGCCAAGGCAAGTTTAAAATTCAGTGATGGTACACCGGAAAGATGGTTATAGCAAGACGGGGGGAGCTTTTCTAAAGGCCCAAGATGCTGTCTGATGACATTCTTAGCTTCAGGATTGGTGGAAGCTAGTAATCTGCTAAGTCGATAGATTCTAAAAGGTTTTGTCTGTTAGTCACAAGATTAGTTCCCACACAGAGATGGGCAAGGAATGGCTGTTCTGGGGAGCTGTAACTAGCCCGGATAAGGTGACTAGCCCTTTGGACCTGCAGCATTCCGGTCTCTCTGCGGTCCTGAAATTCTAACTATCCACCCAGTCTCTGCAGACACAGCTTCTTTCCAGTTCTCACAGTAGGGAAATGAGCTTCGCATGGGGAGGGGGAGGGGGCGGGGGGGACGGGGTGGGGAGGGGTGGCTGGGAAGGAGTTGTCGGGAGCACCTAGTGACACTGATGAGGTTGGATTTTCTGGGATAGGGAAATAGCTCAGTAGGCAGAGTGCTTGCCTTTCGAGGAGTAGGACTTGAATTTGATCCCAGAACCCCCATAAAGTGTCTGGGTGGGGTAGCACACACTTTAATACAGTTCTGGGGAGGGAGAGACAGGCAGATCTCTGGGGTTCACTGGATACTAAACTGTAGGCCAGGAAGAGACAGTGTCTCAAAGAAAACTGTGTGAACAGTATCTAAATAATGACATGTGAGGTTGACCTCTGGCCTCCACATACACATGGAACCACATAAGTGTGAACCTGCACACACACACATTAATTATATATATTAAATATAATATATATTATATATAATAAATATATTAAACATATATATATATTTAATTTTCTGAAATCCAGCCCAAGTGTAGGTCTGTTGTTTGTTTGTTTGTTTGTTTTTGGTTTTTTTTTTTGGTTTTTTGAGACAGGGTTTCTCTGTGTAGCTTTGCGCTTTTTCCTGGAACTCACTTGGTAGCCCAGGCTGGCCTCGAACTCACAGAGATCTGCCTGCCTCTGCCTCCCAAGTGCTGGGATTAAAGGCGTGCGCCACCACCGCCCGGCCTGTTGTTTGTTTTTATTTGAGTTTTAATCTTCTTCTTTTGTCTCTGTGTATGCAGCACATACCTCTGTAGACAGTGTGTCTGTTTTGAGGCTGTATCCTCTGCTTGCAGAGGCCAAAAGAGGGTATGTGATTTCCTGACGCTGAAATTACGTTGCTCGTGAGCCTCCTGGCATGGGTGCTCCGTGAGAACAGCAGTGTTCTTCACCCCGAGCCGTCACTCCAGAGCCTACAGGTACATTGCGTTTCACCTGTCTCGTCAACACTACTTCTCATTTGCTGATGGCTCGGGGTCAGTATTGTGAATAATCGTTGTTCTGTTTACATGCAACATTTAAACGTCACTTTCCACTTTTTCTCTTCTTGCAGTACAGAGGATTGACCCCAAGGCCTCACACATGCTAGGCAACTCTCTTCCTCTTCCTGTAGAAGGTGTCTGTTTTGAGGCTGTATCTCCCCAGGGTTTACTTGGAGTCCTGCTGATCCTCCAGAATGCTATGATGATAAGAGTCTGAGTGGCTACTGCATTGCATTACATCACAAAGCTGATACTGAGAAGAATTAATCCCCCAGATGAGGGGAAGGCCGGCTTCTCTTGTTTCAAGTCACGTATTAATGATGCGGCTCAATGTAACTGCTGGGAAAGAATTTAATTTGCAAAGACAATTAGGCAATTTCATGGCTGAGTTGAAGCGTTGTCTCTGGCCACCGAGTTGATTCTGGTTGTCAACCTAACATCCTCCTGCCCTCCAAAGGAGAGATGAGTGTGAGGGGCACAAGCTTTGGTTGTCACCAAAAACAAAACCAGAAAAAACCCCGACCTATTTGCGGAGAGAGGTCTTTTCTTAGCTTGAAGAAGGGATGCAGAAAAAATAAGTGGGCTGTGGGTGGGTGTTGCTCAGTAGAGGTTTACTGTGATGGCTGATCTTGGTTGCCAACCTGACACACCAGGGAAGAGGTGAGGACTTGCCTCTATCCTATTGGCCTGTGGGCATGTCTATAGGGTGTTTTCTTAATTGCTAATTGATGGAGCAGGGCCCAGCCCACTGGGTGCTGCCCCTGGACAGGTGGGCCTGAGAGGCACAAGAAAGGTGGCTGATCCAGGCTTGCGTATAAGCATGTAATAAAGTCCACGGCCGTGCGGTGGTGGCGCACGCCTTTAATCCCAGCACTCGGGAGGCAGAGCCAGGTGGATCTCTGCGAGGTCAAGGCCAGCCTGGTCTACAGAGTGAGATCCAGGACAGGCTCCAAAGCTACACAGGGAAACCCTGTCTCAAAAAACCAAAAAAAAAAAAAAAGAAGGCAGCCCAGGTGGAGTAGGGACAGGGTTGTATGAGCCACTGAGGCCTGCTCAAGTCATAGGAAGGTGGAGAGGTGAGGAAGGGTCGCCATCCACCCCACCTTCTCCACTTGGTGAGCTGGTGTTGTATTCCTGGCAGGTAGGAAGGCAGGCTTTGTCTGTCGGTCCTGGAAAGCCCTGAGTGAGACTTTCTGGACTCCAGCCTGCTAAGTGGGGCATGAAGCTTCTTTAGGGAAAAGAGACTAAGACATTCAAAGTCTTAAACAATTAAACAAGAATACGGTTCCCCAAACACTGCCTTCATAAAGTTCATTAAAACAGGATGTATATTTAAAATTTCCTAGTGATTAACTTCATTGCAGTGTAAGTATTGAGAGCTCAATTTCTTCCTAAGGCCTAAGGGCATCTTGATTTAAGAAGTGGGAATGGATTGTAAACCATTGGCTTTCATTAGGTTTTTGTAAGTAATAAGCCCCAAATGTCTACAGTGTAGAACAAGATTAAATACCCAAGACTGGGCCTGGAGGGTGGCTCAGTGGTGAAGAACACTTACTGCTCCTGCAGAGGACCTGGGTGTGTTTCTCAGCACCCACATCTGGCAGCTCACAACTTCTGGCAGAAGCTCACACATCTGGCAGACTCCACTGCCAGGGGATCTGATGCCCTCTGGTCTCTCTGTGGTTGCCTACACACACAGTCTGCACATAAATTCATGCAGGCACACATACAAAACTCATGCAGAGACACATGCATCCACATAAAATAATAAAAAAAAAATCTTTAAAGAACACCCTAGGGCTAATTACTCTGGGAAACTACTTGGTCTGAAGATTCTGACACTATAAGCTATATTCTCCCAGCCATGGTATTTTGACACTTCAGATAAGATGCTCAAGTGTAGCTCTTCACAGTTGATGGCTTCTGGTGGGGATGGGGGAGAGGAGACTTGGTTTTGTTTAAGGGGCTGGACACTGGCAGTTTGACCAGCTGCTGTGGGCAAAGATGCTTCTTTTGCTGTGGTATCGATGGCTGAAGACTCGTAACTGAGAATGAGAGACACTGAAGGCCTCTGTGACAACTCCCCCCCCTCCCCCCCGAAAAGAAACAGTCCAGACAGGAAGCTATTGAAGAGTTCTTAAAAATTGCGATAAAGATGCTCAAGTGTAGCTCTTCACAGTTGGTGGCTTCTGGTGGGGATGGGGGAGAGGAGACTCGGTTTTATTTCAGGGGCTGGACACTGGGAGTTTGACCATGCTCCAGTGAGTATATGGAAAACACAAATTTGACTTGGTAGATATTTTTTTCTTTTGGGGGAAGAGCACAAGGGTGGGAGGGTAGACCTCGGAGGAATGGGAATCGAGTGTGACCAGGGTGCATTGTGTGAAATTCCCAAATCATTAATAAAAATATTATGTGGGGAGGGGGATTTAAAAATACAAAAAAATAAAAAAGAGCTCAATACACGTGTACACACACCTGAAAGATCAGTGCAGACGTAGACTCTGTGTTTTGTTTTTAAGTATGACTGTGTGACTGTGTACTGTGGTGTATGGGTGGTCATTTGCCTGAACTCCACCCTGAGCCTGGCCATAGAATACACAGGACACTTTCCTACTGCACCGAGAAGCCTGATAGCAGTGACCAGAGGCTAGAGCTTGCTTCCACAGATGGGATAGTGAGCCAATCGAAGTCACATGCATTCCTCCTGCGAGAATGCTAGAGAGTTTGCCTACCTGTGACCTAGCATAGGAAACTGACTCCTTGACCAGCCACACAAGGGATCCACAGTGACCCCAGCAGCTGCCCCAGCACCCACCTGATGGGCACTCCCGAGGTAATGGCCTGGCTTCTGGTTTTAGCTGGAGGTGTGGGTGTGATGTGGCTAGCCCCTTGGGTTGTTGGGAGGATTAACGGGAGACCTCCCCACCATCCAAGTCCACCAGGAAAAGCTGAGTACATGTTAGCTTCTTCACCATGGCTATTGATGGCCTCGGGCTGGGCTGCCCTTCCTCCTTTGTGCTGTCCCAGCTGTTCTCAGTGACACAGTGGGAAACTGTCGAGGGCTTGAGTGTGCTGTGTGACCACTGTCCCTGGTCATCATTCTTACAAAGCTCCACTGCAGATCTTTCAGTGTGAGCTCTGCTGTGCACTCGTGAGGAGGTAACTGTGTTTTCTTTGATTGTGTTTTGTATGTGTGCCTATGATGTATGTAGTGTATGTGTGAATTCGTGTGTGTTTGTGTGTGTGTGTGTGTGTGTAGGTCAGGATAACCTCAGTGTCAGGCTTACTTTTCACCTTGTTTGAGGCAGTCTGTTGTTTTCCACACTGCATACTCCAGGCTAGCTGGTCCATGAGCTTCCTGGGAGTCTCCTGTCTCAGCCTCCCTAGCTCATTATAAGAATGTAAAGATTATAAAAATGAGCTACTGTGTCCAGCTTCATGTAGGTTCTGGGGATTTGAACTCACGTCCTTATGCATGCCCAGATGAAACTCTCTGTTTTCTCAGGACGGAGCCCTGTCCCTCAAGGCTGCAGAGTTCAGACACTGATATTCTCCAAATGCCAATGGGTATTGGTGCTTCTGTAGCCAGAATCCTCATTCATTAGATGCTGAATGAACCTGGTATGCTAAAGAAGGTGCTTAGCTAGGTCTGCAGAAGACTTAATCTGCTTGGGGTCAGGGGAGAACAGGACCATGCAAAACTGGAGAGCTGTGTAGCAGCTTCAGTCTGGGTTAGTAATAATAGGGAGGAGGCAGTAGAAGGGGGGCAACTGAGAATCTTATAAGCCTTTTCTAGATATTATTGTAATAATAAAAAAGGCAGAGATCACAATAAGATCATCTATATTGCTTGGAATATCCAGAAAAATACTGTGAGGAATCCAGATCTGAAAACTGAGAACTACTTAAAACAAGCCCCTGTGTGTGTTTCCATGAACCCTCTATTGCACTAACCATTATTGTCTTATCTGCGTCATACATAATGTATGCCCTACTCGTTAAATCATGTAAGCCTCCCTGGGCATGGTGGTACATGTCCTTAATCCCAGCCCGTAGGATGGAAAAGGCAGGCAGATGCCAGTGGGCTTGAGCCCAGCCTGATCTATTGAGTAAGTTCCAGGCCTGCCAGGGCTACATAGTGAGTTCCTGTCTCAAAAACAAAACAAACAACAAAGAAACAACTTTAAATAATGATAAGGTGTTCCCTCAGAATGCATATTAAGTTACCCATTAAGATGAGTGACTGCCACTTCATCTTCAAATTCAAACATCAGTTACAACTTCAGAATGGTGGGAAGCTGTATGCTAACAAATTGCCTGCATGTAAGTTGTTAATGGCTATTATATGTCTTAGTCAGTGTTTTGTTGCTGTGAAGAGATGTTGTCTTAGTCAGGCTTTCTATTGCTGTGAAGAGACATCATGACCATGGCAGCTCTTATAAAGAAAAACATTTCATTGGGGCTGGATTACAGTTCAGAGGTTCACTCTGTTATCATCATGGTGGGAAGCATGGCAGCATGCAGGCAGACATGGTGCTGGAGAGGTAGCTGAGAATTCTACATCTGGATTGGAAGGCAGCAGGAAGAGAGAGATACTGGGTCTGGCTTGAGCTTTCAAAACCTCAAAGCCAACCCCTAGTGACACACTTCCTTCAACAAGGCCACACCTTGTCAAGTAGTACCACTCCCTAATGACCAAGCATCCAAATGTGTGAGCCTATGAGGGCCATTCCTTTTCAAACCACCACAGTCCACTCCCTGGCCACCATGGGATAGGCTTGTAGCTATATCATAAAGCAAAATGCATTCAGTCCAACTTCAAAAGTCTCCATAGTCTGTCACTGTCCCAACATTGTTTAAACGTTCAAAGTTCCAAATCTCTTCAGAGACTCATGGCAATCTTTTATTCTAATCCTAAGTAAATACTGT